CCCAATGTTCCCAAACCTCCCCCCGTGACTCCTCCAGGGACCCCCTGGCACCCTAAAAACACCCTTGGGGACCCCAAAAACATCCCCCAGCACCTCAAAATTGCCAGGTAACCACAGAGGCAGGTGAACACCTTGGGAGGGGACACCATTGGCCAAGTAACCACACCTGGCCAGGTACCCACACCTGGCTGTGTCTCCTGTTTTCCAGGTGTGACCCAGGGGCGCTCTGGTTTTCCTGGAAGCTCAGGTGAGCCAGGTGAGCTCCGCCTGGCTGACGGCCCCCACCGCTGCTCGGGGCGCGTCGAGGTTCTCCACAACCACACCTGGGGCACTGTCTGCGGCCACACCTGGGACCTGGCGGCTGCCCAGGTGGTCTGCCGTCACCTGGGCTGTGGCCACGCCCTCAGCACACCTGGAGCCGCCCGTTTTGGGGCGGGGCCCGGTCCTGCCTGGCTGGACGGGTTCAGGTGCGTCGGCAACGAAACCACCATCGCCCAGTGCCCGGGCAGCACCTGGGGGCGGCACACCTGCGACCACCTGGACCACGCCGGGGTCGTGTGCTCAGGTAACCCTCCCAGGTGACCCCCAGGTGACCCCCAGGTGACCCCCCAGTTGTCCCCACCTGCAACAGGTGCCCCCACCTGTGCTGGAAGGGGAAGGCAGAACAAGCATCCAGGTGCAGGTCCCCTCTAACCCCCCTTCCCACCTGTGCAGGTGCCCCCCCAGCAGGTAACTCCAGCTCGGGTGAGGTGAGGTTGGTGGACGGGCCTCACCTGTGCATGGGGCGTGTCGAGGTGCTCCATGACGGCCAATGGGGGACAGTCTGTGACGACAGCTGGGACCTGAAGGAGGCCCAGGTGAGTTGGGGGGGGCTCAGGTTTGTCCTGGGTGTGCCCAGGTGTCCTGGGTGACACTCAGGAGAATCCCTGGGCGTTCCCAGGTGGTCTGTCGCCAGGTGGGCTGCGGGGAGGCCCGGGCTGCCCATGGCCACGCCCATTTCGGGCAGGGGGTGGGGCCCATCTGGCTGGATGACATCACCTGCGCGGGGGACGAGACGCACCTGGCGCAGTGCCGCGCCCAGCCCTGGGGGAGCAACAACTGCCACCACGGCGAGGACGCGGGTGTGGTGTGCTCAGGTGAGCCCAGGGGGGATCAGGTGTGTTGTGGTGGGCTCAGGTGTGCCCAGGTGGACACAAATAGGCCCAGGTGTGCTCAGGTGAGTCCGGGTTACCTCAGGTGTGTGGTGGAGGGCTAAGGTGAGCCCAGGTGGGCTCAGGTAACCTCCACATCAACCCCACCCTCCCACCCCACCTCATCCCCCCCTGATAACCCCCTGCCCACCTCACCTTTCCCCTCACCTTCCTGTTACCTGCCCAGGTGCCAACGTGACAGAGGAGCAGTTCCAGGTGCGCCTGGTGGGCGGCCCCACCCCCTGTGCGGGGCGGGTGGAGGTGCTGCACGAGCACAGGTGGGGCACGGTCTGCGACGACACCTGGGACCTGCGGGATGCGCGGGTCACCTGCCGCCAGCTGGGCTGTGGGGATGCAGTGGCTGCCCCCGGCCACGCCCACTTCGGGGAAGGAGCGGGGCCTGTCCTGCTGGACCACATGGGCTGCACAGGTGAAGAGAACACCTTGGAAGAGTGCGACAAGGGCCCCTGGGGGGTCCACAACTGCAACCACGAGGAGGACGCAAGCGTGGTGTGCACAGGTGAGGGGCGGGGCGGGGGGAGGGGGCTCAGGTGGGGCTGGGGAGGGGCAGGTGTGCTCAGGTAACACAGGCAGGAGGCTGTAGGTGTGCCCAGGCGTACTCAGGTGTGTGCCCCTCCCTCGCAGGTCCCACCCCCCTGCAGGTGCGGCTGCGGGACGGCCCCGGGCCCTGCGCGGGGCAGGTGCAGGTGCTGCACAACCACACCTGGCTGGGCGTGTGCGGCCGCACCTGGAGCCTGCTGGAGGCACAGGTGGTGTGCAAGGAGCTGGGCTGTGGCCCCGCCCTCAGCGCACCTGTTGGCACTCACCTGGCCCCGGGGGCGGCACTGGAGGGTCTCACCTGTCGGGGCTCCGAGACGCTGCTCCTGGAGTGCCTGAGGGAGGGGGCGAGGCCGGGCACCTGCCACACAGGTGGGGCCGCAGGTGTCGTGTGCGCCACGCCCAAAGGTGAGGCACAGGGCGGGGAGGGAGGTGTCAAGGTGGGGGGATGGGTGTGACAGGTAGAGCCGGGACAGGTGTGAAGAGGTGAGACAGGTAGGGGTGGGACAGGTGAGAAGGGTGGAGCCAGGACAGGTGTGACAGGTAGGGGTGGGACAGGTGACTCACCTGCACAGGTAACTGAAGTTGAATCCTCCAACCCCCCCTTCCCCTCTCGCCTAATTAACCCCTCCCACACGTGGCGCACGTAAGGCCAGGTTTGGGTGGTTCTCACCTGTCCCCTCCCCACCAGGTGTGCCCCCTACCTGTGCACCCCTGGTGGCCCTGCTGGGGCTGCTGACGTCACTCAGTGGGGTCCTGCTCTGGCTCACCTTGAGGACCAGGTGTGTGGGAGAAGCCCCAGGTAAAGGTGAGTCCCGACACCCTGAAGTGTGTCCCAGGTGTCCCAGGTGTTCCCCAGGTGTCACCAGCCGTGTCCCCTCCCCCCACAGGTCACCTGGGGGGGATTTACCTGCCCAGGAGGGTCCCCCCTGAGGAGGTGGAGACGCTGCAGCTCATCAAGGACGACGACCCCTGACCTCACCTGTCACCTCTCACCTGCCCCCCCCAAACACACCTGGGGGGGCTCAGGTGTCCCCACACACCTGGGGCAGGTGGAGGGGGGCAAAAGAAGTGGGAAAATGGGGTGGAAATTAATAAAATTGGGGTTTTCAGCCATCCAGGTGAGACAGGTGTGAATTCTGGGGGGAGGGGGGATTGACCCTCCAGGTGTGAATTTTGGGGGATCCCCAAACTCTCCAGGTGTGAAATCAGGTGAGAACACCAATGATGTCATTAATTAACCATCATTTAATTAGCATATGCCCCGCCCAGGTGCACCCAGATCCCACCCCCAGCACTACAGGTACCACGCAGGTGGGACAGGTGAGTCCCAGGTGTGCACAGGTGAGACTCAGGTGAGCCCCAAGTGCCCACAGGTGAGTCCAGGTGCCCACAGGTGAGTTGTCCCATCCAAAGGGGGACAAATCCGGGATCGAGGAATCTGGGAAGGAAGATCCAGGTGAGCACCTGCCCAGTCCCAGGTGCACCTGGGGCACCAGGTGTGGCTGTTCCACCCCAAAAATCCAGGTGAGGGCTCAGGTGAGGTGTGTACACCTGGCCTTAGGTGTGTCGGGGGTCCCACAGGTCCTGGGGGCGTGTCCAGTGTCAGTGATGTCACAGCTCAGGTGTCGTGGTTCAGGTGCTGCAGGTTTTGGGGACCACACCTGTCTAGGTGTGCAGGTCCAGGGTCCACTCACCTGGGGCTCAGGTGTCACAGTTCGGTGTTGCTGCTGAAGGTTCTCAGCGTGCACACCTCTCCTGGCTCCCTTCAGCTGTCTCTCAGGTGTCCTGACACAGGTCCATCAGCTTTTTGGGGTCCACACCGGGTTTTTGGGGCACGCCCCCACCCCGGCTGCCCCGCCCCGGCGCTCAGGTGTCCCTGTGCACGCGCTGGTGCTGCAGCAGGTTGGAGGGGTGCGCGAAGCCCTTGGCGCACACCCCGCACTTGTAGGGCGTCTCCCCCGTGTGCACCTTCTCGTGCACGCCCAGGTAGGCGAGGTCCTTGAAGAACTTGTGGCAGAAGCTGCACTCGTAGGGCCGGGCCTGGCTGTGCACGCGCCGGTGCTGCAGCAGCAGCGAGGGCCGGGCGAAGGCCTTGCCGCAGGCCTCGCAGCCGTAGGGCCGCTCGCCCGTGTGCGCGCGCTGGTGGATGGCCAGGTAGGACGACTGCTTGAAGGCCTTGCCGCAGGTGCGGCAGGCGAAGGGCCGCTCGCCCGTGTGCACCCGCTCGTGCGACGCCAGCGCGTTGCTCTGCTTGAAGCCCTTGCCGCAGAGGCCGCAGGTGAAGGGCCGGTCCCCGGTGTGCACCCGCTCGTGCACCTTCAGCGAGTGCCCGTAGGTGAACCTCTTGCCGCAGACGCCGCAGGCGTGCGGCTTGTCCTCGCAGTGCTGCCGCCGGTGCAGCTGCAGCGCCGCGCCCGTCGCCAGCTCCTTGCCGCAGTCGCCGCAGCGGAAGGGCTTGTCGGCGCCCAGGTGCGTCAGGGCGTGCCGCTGGCGCTCGTAGGGCGTCTTGAAGCCCTTGGGGCAGCGCGGGCAGGCGAAGGGGCGCTCCCCGCTGTGGATGCGCCGGTGCTCCTGCAGGTTGGAGGAGCGCTTGAAGCGCTTCCCGCACAGGTCGCAGCGGTGCGGCCGCTCCTCGGTGTGCACCAGCCCGTGGCTCTTGAAGTCCGAGTGGCGCTTGAAGGTGGCCCCGCACGCCTGGCAGGTGAAGGGCCGCGCCTCGGTGTGCACGACCTCGTGGCTCAGCAGCTCCCACGCCCGCTTGAAGCCCTTGTGGCACACGGGGCACTGGAAGGGCTTCTCGGCCACGATCACCCGCCGGATCTCCAGCGGCGCCGGCGCCTCGCCCGGCGGCTCTGCCCACTCCGCCTCGCCCGCGGGGCTCGCGGCACCGGCACCGCCGCGCCCGCCCAGCACCAGCTTGGCCGTGGAGTAGACGCCGCGCTCGTCGATGAGCTGCACGAAGGCCTGGCTGGGCTCACCTGGGCTCAGCTCACCTGGGCCCAGCTCACCTGGGATCAGCTCATCTGGGCCCAGCTCACTTGCGTGGCCCAGCTCGTCTGGGCTCAGCTCACCTGTGTGGCCCAGCTCACCCGGGCGACCCCACAGCACCTGCAGGTGGTTCCCGTGGGAAGGTCCAGGTTCCTCGGGGCTCTCCAGGTGTTCCCGGCTGGGGCGGGGCCGCCGGGGGTTCAGGTACAGGCGAGGCTTCCGCCGGCGCAGGGGAGGGGCTGAGGCCTCACCTGGAGGCCTCACCTGGGCGCAGGAGGCTCCTCCTGGTGCCACCTGAGTGGACTCCTGGCCATCACCTGGTTCTTCTTCTTCCTCACCTGGTTCTTCATCACCTAGGTCCTCATCAAGCTCTTCCTCACCAGGTTCTTCATCAGCTGGTTCTTCAATTTCTTCCTCACCTGGTTCCTCCTCACCTGGTTCATCATCAGGTTCTTCCCCACCAAGTTCTTCCTCCTCACCTGGTTCTTCACCAAGTTCTTCCTTCTCAGCTGGTTCTTCCTCCTCACCTGGTTCCTCCTCCCCTGGTTCCTCTTCCTCACCTGGTTCTTCACCAAGTTCTTCCTCACCTGGTTCTTCCTCCTCCCCTGGAGGCTCCTCCAGGATCCGTCGGGAAAAGTGGGGTTCGTGGCCCCTCCCCTGCAAGCCCTCCATGGCCACACCTGGAACCTGGGACAGGTGAGAGGGTGAGAGGAGGCAGAGGGGAGGGGATGGGCCTGGGGTCCCCCCGAGCTGGGCTTAGGGACCCACAGAGTCAGTCTTAGGAACCCCCTGAGCTGGGTTTGGGGATCCTTTTGGGAACCCCCCTGAGCTGGGCTTGAGGATCCCCTAAGCCGGATTTAGGGATCCCCTTGGGCACCCCCTAGACTGGGTTTGGGGACCTCCCAGGCTGGGTTTAGGGATACCCTGAGCTGGGTTTGGGGACTTTCTGACCTGAGGCCCCTCCCAGTTTGTCCCAGTCCCCTGCCAGTCCCTCCCCAATCCTCTCCCAGTACACTCCAGTCCTGTCCCAGTTTCTCCCAATCCTCTCCCAGTCTCTCCCAGTCCCCCCCAATCCCCTCCCAGTCTCTCCCAGTCCCTCCCACTCCCCCTCAATCCCCTCCCAGTCCATCCCAGTCTCTCCCAGTTTCTGACCCGGCGCCGCCGCCGCCCCCGGAGCCACTTCCGGCCGCGCTCGCGCGCGGTGACGTCACTTCCTGGGGCGGGTCCTGGGGCGGGACTGGGAGGGGACTGGAAGACACTGGGCCATACTGGGATGTACTGAGAAGGCACTGGGCCATGGTGCGAGGGACTGGGATGGCGCTGGGAAGGCACTGGGACGCACTGGGAGCGTACTGGGCTGTACTGGTCTGAATCCCAGAAAACTCCCACTCTCCGAAGGTCCCTTTGCGCTTGTTTTTCCTCATCCCGGGGGATTTCACCCCAAATCCCACAAATTCCTGCCCATTCCCTCTTCTGTTCCCTCCCACTCTCCTCTCTGGTGACCTTTGGAAAACCAGGAATCGTTTTACCGCTGGAATTTCCTCCCTTTTTGGCTCCAAAGGTCCCAGGAGCCTCTGCAGCCTCTGACAGGTTTCAATCCCAAGGGATTTTCTGGAGATCCTGCGAGTGCTGCTGGAAAACCAGGTTGGTTTTTCCTTTTTCCATGCGATTTCCCACCTTTTTCAGGGAATTTTATCCCATTTCCATTTTATATTTCCCATAAATTCCCGTTTTCTGTTTATTTATAATTCCCGGAGCTCCCAAGCTTTTCCTCTTCCTTCTTTTCCCACGGGATTTCTGTCGCTTTCCCTTCCCTTGTGTTGCTTTTCCAGGATTTTGGGAACTTCCAGGATTTTGCCCTGAAATATTTGGGAATTCTCTTTTATTCCCTCGGGAAAGCGAAAGGAATTTTGGCACCATGATATTATGGGGGGAGGGGGGAGAGATTGAAAAAGGGCCGAAATGGGAAAAAAATCCCCCAAAAATTGTGGATAAAAAACTCCCAGAGTTTCCAGAATGGCCTCATTTTCCTGGGAATTACCGCTGAGGAAAAGGACGCCCTGCAAAAAGGGAACTCCCAGGAGTTTTCCCTGTTTTCCCTTTTTTTCCCTCCTTTTCCCCCCTTTTTTCTCCCTTTCCCATTTTTCTCCCTTTCCCCCTTTTTTCCCTTTTCCATTCCCTCTAAATCCAGGAAAGGAACCCACAGAACAACTTCCAAAAACCGGGAACAGTTTCTTGGAGCAGATCCAGCTGCTCCAGAACTCAGGAGCAGGACCCCATCCCATGGATTTCCCATTCCCACCTGGAATTTTTCCTTTCCCCACAGGAATGGGGCCCTGGATCCGGATGGTCCCCCTCATCGCGTTCTCCGGACTCCACCCCACAACGGGTAATTTTATGGGATTTCATGGATTTGTTGAGCTTGGAAAAGACCCTGAGGATCCCCAGAGAGCTTCTGGAATTCTTTGGGATTTGAGCTTCCAAATTATTCCATCGGGGGAGCTCAGGGAAGTTAATTTTTGGATTTTTTGGGGGGGGGGATTTTTGGCTCCCGATGAATTCCTCGGCTCGTTTTGTTTTATTCCCACCTGGCGGGAAGGACCCGGCATCTTCATCCCAATAATTCCAGCTGCCTTGGAGAGGGGGGAAAATCGGGATATTCTTCTGGAGCTCCTGTGTCCTGCTCATCCATAGGGAGTGTCCATGACCCGCTGCTCGTCCTGGATGGATTGGAAGACTCTGGAATCCGCCTCAAGTGCCTCTCGGAGCGGCTCTTTTCCGAAGTCAAGGTGTTGTGGATGGATGGGAAAGGCAGGAATATCACCGGGAATGCCCTGAGCACGGACACATCCGGGAATGCCGGGAGCTCCATCGTCCTCAAACCGGGATCTGGGAACGCCGTGTCCTGCAGGATCGTCGACAACCTCGGGAAAACATCCACGGAATCCTCCGTCGTCATCACGGGTGAGGGGGGAAAACAGGGATCTGGTGCCGCTTTTCCCGGGAATCCCAGTTTTTAGTGGGATAATCAATCAATTCCCGGTCTAGGGATGCAAAATTCCAGGTTTGGGGATCCAAATTCCCTCCACTCCAGGTGATATTCCAAGGGAATAGCGGAGCCCCTGGATTGTTTTCCAGAGAGTTTCTTCCCGACCATCTCCCTCTGGCTCCCGGCTTTTGTGATGATCCTGCTCTTTGGAATATTCCTGGTCCTGGCAGCTGTTTATAAACTCCGGAGTAAGTT